TCAAGATGTCCCTAAAACTGATCAGGCCTCTCTGTCCCCAAGCATATATAAGCAGTAAGGACTGCGGAGAGACAAGGTGAGCTGCCTGGAAGAGACATATCAGCCAAGCTGCTAGGAAGAAACAGGGACCAGAAGAGCTGGCTAGAAGAGTCAGAGACCAGCTGAACTGCCTAGGAGAGACCAGATCAATTGAGCTACCTAGAAGGGATACTCTCTAACCTGTTGACCCACATGTGGTTGTGCAGTGCACTCCAGGTTTGATTTCATGAGCTGTCACTCACGCTGGGGTGTGCCTTGGTGATGCAGCTGTCTTTGAGTCATTTCTGCTCCTGTAATAAACCCTAATAAAATTTGATTCACCAAGAAAAAAACTGTTCTACGAAAAAGAGATTATATACCAAATAATAGGAGATACATGAAGTAAAGAACTGACAACTAGAGAATGACAATTCTAGAACAAAATCTGGAAACCCCAACACCTCACTCTAAACAATTGACAGAACGATCAGAAAATCACCGTGGATATAAAGAGCTCAACATCATCATCAACAAACAGTAGATAATTAACGTTTATAGAAGCCCTCCTCCATGAATAATAACCAAATGAACGTTCAGTTGTATATAGAAGATATTACAAGATAGATCATGTCCTGGGCTATGAGACAACCTCAGATTTTTAGAAGAATTAGATCATGCAGAGTGTGATCTCTGACCTTACTGGAATCAAACTAGAAATGAATAATAGAAAGATAATTTGAAAGGACTCAAATACTGGAGACTAAACAAATACTTCTACTCTAAAGGTCATGTAGGAAGTCTCAAGGAAATTAAAATCAAAACAAGCATTAATTTTGGGGACAGTTAATACAGGGCTGAGAGAAAGCATCATAGCAATAGCGTAGAAAAAAAGATGCAAAGTTTCAAATTGATAATGTCAACATCCATCTCAAAAAGAAGTGCAAAACGAACACAAAGGAGGAAATAATAGAGAAAAAAATAAATGAAAATCAATTCAAATTTATTTGAAGAGAGGAAGACAATAAAGAAAAATCAATGAAACAAAGAACAGGCTTGATGAAAGATCAATGAAATTAACAAACTTCTAAGAAGACCCACCAAAATAACAATAAAGGCACATGTCCTCAAAAACAAACAAAAAAGGACAAAATAACAGATATTACTAGAGACCCCTCACAACTTAGGTGAAATATACCAGTTCATTTTAAAAAGCCACCATAACTCATCTAAATAAAAGAAATTTAAATATCCCAAAAGTTACTATAGATATTCAGTATATAATTTTTAATCTCCAGACCCAAATGGGCTCACTGATTAACTCTATAAATATTTAAAGAACACCACAGGCATAACGCTAATAAGCAAGTAACAAGGAAAACTGCCTTTATTTGGAAATGACATAATTCTTTGTAGAAAATTCCAAGGACTCTATACATTTAGAAAAAATTATAAGGTTTGGGGAGATGGCTGAGTCAATAAATTACCTGTCATGCAATTATGAGCACCTGAGTTCAGATCCTCAGAATCCACATGAAGCCACACATGGTAACACACATCTGTAGTCCCAGTGCTCTAACAGCAACATGGAAGACAGAGACAGGAGAATCCCCAAAAGGTCACAGGCCAGCTAGGCTGGCACGGATGACAAGAGACCCCATCTCAAGAAGGGGAAACATGATGTCCAACACCAAGTTTGTCCTCTGACTTTCACGTGCACTCTGTGGCATATACATGCCCATGCTCACACACAAGAACATAAGAACATGGATATATGAAAACACACACACAAACCAGGTGCGTGCATCCATAACCTCAGCGTTGGGGGGGGTGAGTGACAGGTGTGTCCCTATATACAGCTCATTGACCAGCCAGTCTAGCCAATCTGTGAGCTCCAGATTCAATGAAGAGCAACAGAGAAAGAAATCCAGCATCAGCTTCTGGCCTCCACATCCATACATATGTGCACATATCCACACAAACACATATACATACCACATATTTACATATAAAAAATAAAGCTTGGCCGGGTGTAGTAGTGCACACCTTTAATCCCAGCACTTGGGAGGCAGAAGGAGGCAGATCTCTGTGAGTTCAAGGCCAGCCTCGTCTACATAATGAGTTCAAGGGGAGACCTTGTCTCAGGGAGACCCTGTCTCAAAAAATAAATAAATAAATAAATAAATAAATAAATAAATAAATAAATATAAATCTTTTAGATCTAGGGCCAGTGAGACAACCCAGTGGATAAAGGGGCTTGTTGCCAAGCCTGAGGTTCTTGTTTAATCATAAGCATCCACATGGTAGAGGTTGAGAACAGAGTCCCACAAGCTGTCCTCTGACCTCCACACGTGCACAGCATGTGCACAGAAAAGCCATGGAACACACACACACACACACACACACACACACACGTACTCACAAAATAAATAAATAGAAAAAAAATTTAACTTATTTAATAGGTGAAGTCAGTACCGTTGTGAAACAGAAGACAAATAAAAAATAAGTTGTATTTCCACATACTTATAATGAATATGTGGACACTAAAATTAAAACGCAATTCCATGTGCTTAAATATAAAGCTAAAAAAAACATAAAACAACTCTTACACAAAAATTAACTCAAAAATGGATCATGGACTTAAATGAAAAAGATGAAACTAAAAACTTATAGAAAAATAGGAGAAAAACATTTGTTGTTTAGGGCTAGATGGAGTTCTTGAACTTGATACCAAAAGCACAATCCAGGAAAAGAAAAATGTATTATTAGACATTGTTAAAATGTTAAGCTTTTGCTCTGTAGAAAACCCAGTTTGGAGAAGGGATGGCTACAGAATGGGAAAAAATATTTTCCAATACATATAACAAAGGTCTAGTATCTTCTAAACATGTCTCAAAATTCAGCAGTAAGGAAACACCCTCCATTAGAATATGGGGGGAGAGCAACACATGAAGCAATGTTCAGCCTCCTTGGTCTTTAGGGAAAGCAGTGAGACTGTAGTGAGATGTCACCACAGTCCTGAAAATGGATCCAACAAAAATGAACAAGACCATAAATGCCAGAGATGAGGGTGAGATAACCTGGTTCATGAATGGTGGAAACGTAAAATGGACCTGTCAGACTGGAAAACGCTGGGTGGGTAGGGAAGATATCTTAGTCTGTAAAGTGCTTGCCACACAAATAAAAATACCTGAGCTGGCACTTCAGAAACTAGATTTTAAAAAAAAGTGAGGCATGGTGGTGTGTGATTGTAATCCAGTGCCAGAAAGACAGAGACAGGTGGATCCTTGAACTTGCTAGCTAGCCAGTCTCATCTATTTGGCAGACCCCAGGCCAGTGAAGGCCCTGTCTCAAAACACAAGGTAGACAGCTCCTAAGGAATGACACCAGAGGTCAAACTCCTGACCCTCACATGCACCAGATGCATACACTCACACTCTCACCTGCAGACACAGACACACACACACACACACACACACAC